TTTATTTTGATTGGAAAGTCAGACACACAAAGAGTAGGAGAGACAGAGAGGAAGATCTGTCTGATGATTCACTCTCCAAGCAGCCGCAACTGCTGGAGCTGAGTCAATCCAAAGACATGAGCCAGGAGTCTCTTCTGGGTCTCCCACGTGGGTACAGGGTCCCAAGGCATTGGGCCATCCTCAACTGCTTTCCCAGGCCACAAGCAGGGAGCTGGATGGGAAATGTAGTCACCAGGATTAGAACCAGCACCTATATGGGATCATGGCATGTGTGAGGCAAGAACTTTAGCTGCTAGGCTACTGTGCCAGGCCCTCTTTCAAATAAATTTTTAAATATTGAAGATCAGCAACAAACCCAGTCTTCCTCCTAGGATGGATTCTGTGTACATGACCTGCAAACCTCTCTCTCCATGGAGCTTTTCCAGGATCACGGGATGGTCTTTATTCACCAAACTTTGTCTTTCCGTGTGTTGTCACCCAATGAATGGGACCCCTTCTTCCTAGAGCAAAACACTCATCCTTGACTTTGCTTCCGGCCCACGTGCCTCTCTCCTGGACAAGTGAAACATCTCAGTCCCTCCCTCCACTCCTCCCTGTTCTCCAAGCAGTGGGTGGATGATCTGAGACACTAGTTCTGATGCTGCCACTCTTCCCTCCAGAAACCTTCACTCCCTGCTGCCTTTAAGGGGCCGTGGGAGTTGACATCTTCTTCCCTCCATCACTTGGCTTGCCCCAGATGCATTTTAGTTGTTAAAATTTACTTATTTAGGGTCCAGCAGGGTAGCCTAGCAGTTCAAATCCTCACCTTGCATGTGCTGGGATCCCATATGGGCACCAGTTCTAATCCTGGCTGCCCCACTTCCCATCCAGCTCCCTGCTTGTGGCCTGGGAAAGCAGTTGAGAACAGCCCAAAGCCTTGGGACCCTGTAACCCCCTGGGGACCCGGAAAAAGCTCCTGGCTTTGGATCAGCTCAGCACCAACCATTGTGGCCACTTGGGGAGTGAATCAACAGACCTAAGATCTTCCTCTCTGTCTCTTCTCCTCTCTGTATATCTGACTTTCCAAAAGAAACAAATCTATTTAAAAAATGTTTACTTAAAAAGCCAATAAAAGTTACTGATTTAGCTGAAAAGCAGAGTGGCAGAGAAGAGGAGAAACAGATTTTTTTTAAAGATTTTTTTTTTATTGGAAAAATAAGATTTACAGAGAGAAGGAGAGAAAGATCTTGTCTGCTGGTTCACCACCCAAGTGGCTACAATGGCCAGTGCTGAGCCAACCTGAAGCCAGGAGCCAAGAGCTTCTGGGTCTCCTACATGGGTGCAGGATTCCAAGGCTTTGGGCTATCTTCTACTGGTTTTCCAGGCCACCAGCAGGGAGTAGGAAGGGAAACAGAGCAGTCAGGACGCAAACCAGCACCCATACGAGATCCCAGTGCATGAAAGGTAGATTTGAGACACTGAGCACCTGGCCTCCAGATATATTTTTTTAAGATTTTATTTTTTTATTGTAAAGGTACATATACAGAGAGAAGAGACAGAGAGGAAGATCTTCTGTCCGATGGTTCACTCCCCAAGTGACTGCAACGGCCGTTGCTGCGCCGATCTAAAGCCAGGATCCAGGAACTTCTTTCAGGTCTCCCACGCAGGTGCAGAGTCCCAAGGCTTTGGGCTGTCCTCGACTGCTTCCCCAGGCCACAAGCAGGGAACTGAATGGGAAGTAGAGCTGCTGGGACTAGAATCAACGCCCATGTGGGATCCCAGCACATTCAAAGCGAGGACTTTAACTTCTAGGCTATCGCACCGTGCCCTCCAAGATTTTTTTTTTAATTCTTTTTTTTTTTTAATTTGAAAAAGCAGATTTAGAGAGACAGTGATCTTCTATCCACTGGTTTATCCTGCAAATGGCCACAGAGGCTGGGGCTGGATCAGGCAGATGTCAGATGCCTGGAGCTCCATCCAAGTCTCTGAGAGAGTGAATCGGAAAGTTAGAGCGTTGGGACTCAGGAATTGGCACATGCATACACTTGCGCATACAAGTGTCACAGGCTTAACCCACTGCACCACAGCACTGGCCTCAGACAAGAGACCGATCTTTCATGCACCAAATGGGTGCAACTCTCAGGGCTGGGCCAGGCTAAAGCTGTGGGCCAGGAACTGCATCCAGATATCCCACATGGGGCCCACGTGCTCGAGCCATCTTCCTCTGCTTTGCCAGAAGCATCAGCAGAGAGTTGGATCAGAAGCCACGCAGCTGCAGTTCCAGCTGGTTCTCCGATGTGTGAATCTAGTGTTGCAGGCAGTGCTGGCTGCAGGGGCCCACACCACTGCGCTTCCATCACCTCCTGTACCAGGTCACATTCCGTGTTCTCTGTGCAGTACCCTCTGCCTCAGCACTTTTCCTCTCTTGAAAAAAAACAAATCTTCAGCAGTAAAGCCTGTCTTACCCAGCACTGTCTTCGCACCTTGCCACGTACTGTCTCCAATTCACACATCCAACCACACTATTAATTGGGTCTCTCCTACATGCCAGGCCCTGTTCCATAGCCTGTGGACACAGCCTGGAAAAGGCAAGGTCCCTAACTTCATGGGTTTATGTTCCCGTGGGGGTAGCAGACAAACCTGCTGAGTTCAGGTGCTGAGCTAGGTTGCCAAGGTGAAGGGTTAGAGAGTGTTGGAGCTGAGGAAGGAAAAATAAGGGGTAAAAGTGAGTTTGGAAGCAAAAAGTTCGAAATCAGGTCTGTGTGGCCCTGGTGGCCAAGGTCAGGAGCCTTTACATACTGGAAGGTTTGGAGCAAGCAGTTGACACTATCAGATCTGCTTAAAATCCAGTCAAGGGCAGCCAACCGGGATCCCAGCCCCTTCTGCCTCAGGGTAGCCCCCAGTGTGTGGCCCAGGGACCCCCGCGGATCACAGAATGACTGAATGGGCGTGAATGTCCTCCAAAAGCAAGCGGACAGAGGAAGAAGGATTCAAAAGATTTTATCCTCTTTTTCTTCTTTAGTGAAACGCAACACTCCTTACAGTGACAACGAGGATGAAATGGTTAACATCAAACGCCGGTAAGGAAAGTGGGCACAACACCACGTCGGCTCCGCAGTCCGCGAGGCGAAACAGCAACCCCAACCGGAGGCTCAGGGAAACCCTACAAGCCGGCGAAGGGCCGGGCCGGGGCGGGCATCGCTCGTGCGATGAGGAACCTCGGGCCGTTCCCACTCCTCATTGGTTCTTCCGGAAATGGACAGCTCTCCGGGCGGAGCCTGACCGGGCGCAAACGTAAGCGTGGCCAGCGCAGGGAGAGGGCACGGGAGGTCGTGACGCGTGCGCCTCGGTCGCCGGCAGCATCGTCTCGGGGAGTGGTGGGGGGGCGGATGGGAGTCCATCCCACGGGGCTTCGTGCCCAGAAGTTGGCCGCCCTGGGGATTTGAGTGTCCATTGCCTGCAGCGTCGTTTTTCCGTCTTGGCGGTGCCTCAGCCCTTCCCGAGGCCGTGTTGTTTTGATGGTGAATTATTCAGGAAGCCTTGCAGCCTGACGCCATCTCTGAGGAGTGCCCCTCCCTTCCCCTGCTGTTCCCTGGAGGGCCCCCCACGCTCTGCCCCTTGAATGACTTCACCCACCGTGCAGCTTATGTTAGAGCTGGAATCCAAACCACGTCCCTGCTTTTGGGGGGTTTATCTCCTATGGCACGACACAAATATGCAAAACCGAAAAACTCAAAATTTAACAGGATTTATGAAAAAAAAAAGAAAGGAAAAAGCCACCTGTGATTGACAGAACTGGGATGAGGGAGTGGAGGCATGGCTTGAATGAGGTGGCGACTGTTGTGGAAGATATGGAGGTCCTGGGGCTGCCAGGGCATTTTGGCCGGAACAGAGAGAGCGCCACATGGTACCTGACAATAGTTTTCTTGCCTGGGAGTTTGGAGAATCTTCTAAATACACTAGTAAGCTGTTAGATTTAGGAAGAACTTGATGGGATTATTTCTAACCTGAGTGGAGAATGGCCAGTTGGGAAGGGCGGAAGTAGATCCATTTGAGAGGTAGTGGCGAACAGGTGGGTGTTGAACTGGGAAGCAGGGAAGTGGTGGGGAGGGTCGAGTTTAAGACTGGGTCAGGTGTGAGGAGGGAAGGACAAGAAGTCAAGAGGATCCCTCAGCATGTGGAACAGCGCAGTGGGTAGTGGTGGTGTCATTTAGTAAGCCGAGAGGGGGCATGGAGTGGGCAGCGCGATAGGCAAGACGCATTAACCTGCATACGGCGAAGACCTTGCTAGGGTCACTTACAGAATGAGCAGAAGAGGGAGCAGGCTGGCAAGGGATGCCCAGAAGAGTAGAGAAGGAGGGGAAATAAGAGAATGTCAGATTGGACAAGGCGTGATGGTGCAGCAGCACTTGCAATGCTGACCTCCCATCCTGCGGTCCTTTTGGAGTCCTGGCTGCTCTGCTTCTGATCCAGGGCCCTGCTAAGGCACCTGAGGAAGCGACAGAAGGTGGCTCAGGTGCTAAGGTCCTGCTAGTCATGTGAGAGACCAGGTTGGAGTTTGTGGTTCCTGGCTTCTGGCATCGTGCCAGCCCAGATCTGTTAGGAGGCCATTTGGGGGAGTGAGCCAGTGGATGGAAGATCTGTCTCTCACTTTGCCTTTTAAATAAATACATCTTTTAAAAAGTAATTTTCTAGAAGAAATATGCTTACCGTCTGGGTTAATTTCCATCTGGGAGGGGTCAAATGAGACACAGGCAGAGAAATCATTCCCTGGGCTGTAACCACTTTGATCACAGAAAGCTTTGTCAAGGCCAGTAGTGGGAGAGGTACGGGGGAAATGACCCATGGCAGCCAGTGAGGAGAGAACAGATGTGCAAGAGCAGAGGGAAGAGAAAAACCACTGGCATGTGAAAAGAGGAGAGATGCCCTGTGGTTGCTAGAAGAGTGGCTTCAAAGACTCATTTTAAACAGTGAGAAGCACTTGAGTGGATTTCAGTGTGGACACAGAATGAGCCAAGAAAGAAGGGGAAAGTTGAAATTTATTGAAGGCTTATTTAGGAGGTAAGAGCTTTACAAACATTCATCTTCACCATGTTTTACAGATTAGGCAATTGAGGTTAAATAACTTGCCTGAGTTCATGCAGCTAGAGGGGGCAGAGAGGCTGCCCAGATGTCAGCCTCCCTAGGCCTGCCTCACCACCCTGTCCTATGGGCACACCCACCCTACCTATCTCCACAGAGGCTGGAGTGTGCCTGTTCATCCCAAAGGGCCACGCCCAGACTGCAAGGACAGGAGTTTGCATTTCCCTCCTGCAGTGCTGTAAACAAGGGCACCTGCCTCCTTTCCCACCCGCACATCCCGCAGCCCCAATCTCCACACAGCCCACCCTGGTCCCAAACCCCCAGTCCAGAGGGGCAGAGGCAAGCAGCAGGAGCCCCCAAAGGGTGCAGGAAAAGGGACCTTTTGGTGGCGGTGGTGGGGTGGTATACAGCAGATTTTTGTGCTAGCCAGTGCAAGGGGGCATGGAGGCTGCTGGTGCCTGGTGGCCCCCAGCAATCAATCACCTGGGCCTGTTTAGAGTGACAGGAAGCTCGGGTCAGAGCCCAGTCTCCCGACTGCCACCATTGAGACTCAGGCTGTGGGGGCGAGTGCCCCGCTCCAGCCTGCGGCCAGAGAGGAGGCGCCGCAGGGAGGAGCCGTAGCTGAGATCACCACAGCTGCGCAGGTGCAGGCTCTCGCGGCCTGGGCGGCCCCAGGCACTCCTGGGCACCTGCAGGGGAGCCACAGCAGAGGGCAGCAGGTGTCAGATCCCACCTGAAGTTTCCAGCTTTCCCAGAGATCTTTCAAGACTACTGGAAGGCTTACCTGCTTAGTAGGTCCATGGGCTCCAGTCCCAGTGGAGTCTGGGGCCTTTCTGGACATCTGGAGGAAACGAGTGACCAAGGCGCGGCCTGGCCAGCTGCCCTTCAGGTCCCCCAGGGAGTGGGCAGGTGCCGGACCTGAGGGCAGTGGAACTTTCTGGAAGGTGGGCACAGGGCGTCGTTTCTCAGCTGAGCGGGCACGTAGCAACTTGGGAGAAGGGCAGCGGGCAAGGCGGAAGAGGCAGGCTTCGGAGCAGAGCCCTGGAGGGAAAGAGAAAGAACAGTGGGGGGGGGGGAGAGGGGGGAAGCGGTGCAGAGCAGACAAGGCAATGCCCCCCTTCCCCCTGCCTGGTAGCCAACCCCCTCCTGACCTGTATCTGCAGAGGAAACAGAAGCAGCTTCTTCCTCAAGCACTTTGGTATAGAGGTCCCTGAAGTCAGCTGGGAAGATGACAGAGGGGGGTAAAGAACAGCAGCACTCTGGGGGCACATTGACCCATCTCGCTTTTTTCTTTTCCCTTTCTTAATTGAAAGTAATTATTTGATGGGCTGCATTGTTGCACAGTGAGTTAAGTTACCACCTACAATGCTGGCAAACCACATGGTTCAGGTTCTGCTTTAATTCCAATTCAGCTCCCTGTTCATACACCGGGAAAGCAGTGGAAGATGGTCCAAGTGCCTAGGTCCCTGCCTCCCACATAGGAGACGTGGATGGAGTTCTTGACTCCTGGCTTCCTCCTCACCCAGCCCTGGCCATTAGTCATTTGAACTAGAATCTCTCCCTGTCCCTTCCACTCTGTCTGTAGCCTTACCTTTAAAATAAATAAAAGCACATCTAACAAATAAAACAATTTTTTGGAGAGGAAGAGAAAGAGTGAGGGTATTCCCATTGGTTTATTTGACCCCAGATACCCGCAACAGCCAGAACCAGAACTCAATCCAGGTTTCCCATATAGGTAGCAGGGACCCAATTTACTTGCGCCATCACCACTGCACACACGGCAGGAAGCTACAGTCAGGAGCTAGAGCGAGCAACTGAACCCAAACCCTCTGATGTGGGAGAGTAAGCCCCACCCCTACCATCCTGCCAGAACCTGAGCCCAGGAGAGCTTTCACAGTTCCCCCGCACTCCCCAGCCTGAACGGAGCGGCCATCACTTCAGCCCGCCAAGACACAGTACAGTCTGTGGTGGGGCGTATCCCTCCCACCAGCTGGCACACACGTCATATGTCCGTGCCAGATAGCCTGCCACCTGCATGGCCTGTATCCTGACAATTTACAGGATTACTACAGAGCTCTGCTTATTGTATCTGCCTTACAGGTGAGATGCGGAGGCCTGGAGGGGGTGGATAAATTGGCCCATGCTGGGAGCTGGTTTGCAGTGAGCAGCCAAGTATGTGCTGTAGGAGTGGGTGCCTCCTTTTCTCCCTTAAGTGGACTTTAACTAGTTCCCTTGGGACTCTCCAATGAGCTCGCACTGCCTACCCATTCCTGAGTCTGAGAGGGTTTGGGTGGGAGGTGGGGCTCACCAGTGTCGCTGGAGGTGGTGATGCCCGGGTCGCTGTGGGACCGCGGTAGCAGCAGCGGTGAAGGGGGAGCCGGATGAGGTGGCCGGTGCCCCGGTGGGGTGAGGGAACCTGAGCTGTCGCTGAAGCGCCGGGTGGGAGCTCGCGTGGGGGGCACCGCCGCCGCGGCTGCTGATGCCGTCACAGCTGTTGAGGCTACTGCAGGGCGGCCACCTCCCCTGGGTGCCCGCCGCCTCAGCTCCGGGAAGCAGGGGCCCACCCAGGGAGGCCAGCCCTCCAGGCGGTGGCAGCTGCGGGCAGCTGTGGGTGCGCCCAGAGGAGGTGGGCCCTCGGGAGCAGAGCAGGAATAGGAGCGGGCGGCCCTCGGGGGCCGCCGGGGCAGGGGACTGTCCTCAAAGGGGCCCCGCAGGCCGCAGTCCAGGCTGAGACAGTAGCCGGCGCGGCTGCGCTGGATGGAGCGGAAGAGCACGTAGTCAACGGAGCGCACAGAGCCTTGCAGCTCCAGCAGGCACGAGTCCTCGGATGGGCTGGAGCCCCCGGGGAGGTCACCGATGGCAGACAGCACCAGAGAGCCGCTGTCCATGGACACTGTGGGCGGCAGGGGGCGCTCGCTAGCCAGCCCAGCCCAGGCAGCTCCTGGTCCCTACCGCACCCATTCCCTGCCACTCTGCCTGCTCTGCCTCCAGCTTCATCTCAGGTCCAGGTTTCCAGGAAGCTCCACCCCAACCCCCAAAGCTTATCTTTAAACCACCAGCTCGGCCTTGTTTCTGACCCCACCACACATCCTGTCCCCAGGCAAACGCACAGTCCCCAGCAGCTCTGCCCTGGTCCATCTTGCCCAGGCTCTGCTCACCATCTACAATGGAGGCCACTCGTTCGCAGAGGCAGGACCCATCATGCAGCTGAGGATCAAACAGTGTGGCCTGCAGAAGACACAAGGTCAAAGGTCTGGCCCCACATGCAAGCACACACACTGGCCATGGCCAGCGCCACATGCTTGGGCAGAGCATTGGAGAACCAGGATGCAGATGGGCTCTGTCTGTACACGTGGCACTGGGCTCAGGTGGGCCTTGTCGGTGCCATGTTAAAACAGAGCAGTTCCCACCCCACCTTGCCTCGGCTGGTTCCGGGTAAAGGCCAAGAGGGCTGGAAGGTCCAGTACTACAGAGATGGTGAGCAAGAGTCTCTATGATCTGTCTGGCTCTACCCACAGCTGCCCAGCTTGCACCAACAGTGCCCTCACCTGGCTGTCTCCTCGGAGCCCCATGACGGCCTCGTAGGATGGGGGACAGTCTGTAGGGTACAAGGGCACAGGACTGTCCATGGAGCCATTGTAGGTGATGCTGGTGGGAGGAAAGAAGGGTCAATAAGGACCTGGGAAAATAACTCCCTCTTCACAAAGATCCCCCTACTGATCCAGCCCCCACCCCTGCCCCTCTCCTAGGCTGCCCTAGTAGGACCTTCCCAGCTCACCTCTGTGCATCAGTTTCTGAGCTGCAGGTGTACTCCGGGGGGTAGTAGGGTGGTGGGGGCACAGGCGGTACAAACTCCTCCAAGTCCAGCATGGTGTGTAGGAGAGGGGCTGGGGGTGAGGCTGTGCAAGCCAGGGACCCCAGGGGGCCAGAGGCGGAGCGTTCTGGGGCCAGCTGCTGGGAAGCAGGCAGGTCAGCCAGACTGGCTCGCTTGAGCTCCACTGTTTGTGGCCCCAGGTTCAGTCCCATCCTTCACTCATCCTTCACCCCTGCCCTGGCCCTCCAGCTCTAGTCCCATGCCCTATTCACTCAGAGATGCTGATTGTCCCCTCCTCTGTCTGGGACCCCTTTGATTGCACCCTACCTTCCCAAGACTCTATAAAGTCCCCTCTGCTGGCTTCAGTTCTGACTGACATTAGGCGCTAAGCTTGCTCTTCCTCTTCCCTCCTTACCCTCCCTGGGATACATCCCAGTGACCAACAGAACCCCTGCCCCACCTGGGTGCTCAGGAGCCAGGCCTATGGCCAGTGCCCACTTCTGTCCACACCCCTGGCCAACCCAGACCCCTCTCTCACCGTATGTACAAGGTCTAAGGAGAAGATCTGGACACAGCAGACAATCGCAGAGAGGGTGCAGATGATGGCAGCACAGATAGTGAGCCCACAGACGCTGAACAGCAGGTTCTGGGGGTAAACAGTCCACATTCTGGGCCTCTAAGGATCCCCAGGGGGTAAGGCAAGCGGGAGGCTGGGGGAGGGAAGAAGGGAAGGTACGGCAGGTGCACACTCACCTTGAGAGCCCCTCGGGCTTCTTCACAGGTGGAGTTTGGGGCCACTTTCAGTTCCTGCCCTGAATCAGGACAGGGCCGGACCAGGGGGTCAGAGGGACAGCACACACAGACCTTCCCATCGTCCTGAGCAGGAGTGGGGCAGGGGAGGCAGCCTGAGTCAAGACAAGCCCAGGAGCCTGGCATGTCCCCCTTCCCACACTACCCCTCCCCTCAGTTCTTCCCAGCTCTCCTTCCTGGAACCTCACCTCAGTGCACTGTTGGAAGTCTCGGGCCAGCTGGGCGTTCTTACAGGAGAGAACAGAGCCCGCCATGCTGAGCATGACACAGAGCACCGAAAGCAAGGAGAAGAAGGAGATCTGGGGGAAATGGAATGCCAGCTCAGGGCTAGGGTGCTCCCAGCCCCTGCACCAGGGCCTCCCCACTCCCCCTGCAACTTCACAGATGCTTAAGGCCTTTTCGGCATCAGCTGGAGAGCCACTTTCCTGATGGCATAAACAGGCATCCCTCCAGGTGCCCCGCACCTGCTTCCCAGCGGGCACTGGGACCCTGGCACCTACCACTAGAGTAAATGGCCGCTTCCAGGACACGATGCCAACTACCCCGGAGAACGCCAGCTGGGGACAGAGTGGGCACAGGCGGCTCAGCCTGGCGGCGGAAGCACCTGAGTGAGCCCCTTGCCACAGGATGCACCCCACAGTCCCTGCAAGGTGTGAGAGGACCAAGGGGGTGGGGAGAAGCGAGGGATGTGGACTTGCAGCCCCGTGTGGAGGGGTGGGGCCCAGGGAGCCGCCCTCCCCAGTCACAGTGCACCCAACTCACCGAGAACCCAGCCCAAGACGGGCAGGACCTCTTGATGCTCTCGGTGATGGTGACGGAGGAGGCCACCATGCTGAAGGTGACCACCAGGATGCCCAGGAGCACCTGGGCCAGCCCCAGCGTGAGCAGGGCCTGCAGCCAGGGCCGCTGGAGGCCAAGGTGGGTTAGGCCCCGGGTGCTGGGCCGGCTGGTCAGTGAGCGGCTCGAGTCACTAGGCGAGGGCATCATGCCTGCCGCCCGGATGCCTGCGCCTCACTCGGCCCCACCAGGCGCTTGGGAGCATCTCAGAGGCGCCCAAGGCCGCGTCCTTTCTCCTCTCCACGCCCCTTGTTCTAGAGCCCACCCCCTGGCTGGGTCCCCTGGGGCATGGCCCAGGGACGCCAGCTGAGGGGGGGGCTAAGGGAGGGGCGTCACGGAGGGACCGCGAGGTCCTCCCTCCCCACCACGGGCACTGGACGGGCAGCGTGCCCGGGGCGGTGAGGAGGACGCGGGGGCACCGGCTCATCGCATCTCCCTAGGGAAGAGGGAAGCCGAGAAGGGCCGGTCCCAGAGTGAGCTGCAGGCAGGCGGCGATCTGGGGAGCCCAGGGAAGGGTGGGGGGTAAGGGCGAGAAGGATGCAGAGAAGTCTAGAGGAAAGGGGAAGGATCCAGTAGCGTCCGGGGTCGCCTGGTGGGGAGAGGCCGCGACGCCGTCGCCATCGCTGGGGTCGCCTGTCCCGCTCCCCTCCCCACCACGCTCCGCTCCCGGATAAGGCTGCAGCTGGTCCTTGACTGGAGGCGGGGGATGGGGATGGACGGGATGGTGAGGGGGGAGGGGAGGGGCGTGGCGGCCTGCGCGGTGCATTCTGGAAGTTGTAGTCCTGGGCTGCAGCCCTGGGGGTGGGGCGCAGCCCCTCTCTGGGGGGCGGGGGACGGACACTCCGCCAGCGCCCCCTGTCCTCTCCGCCCCGCCTAGGAGCCTAGCCGTGATTCTCAGATCCTTTCGGTACCCACTGAACCTCTGGTTCACAGGCATTAGTGGAGAGGGATGGGGAGCCTGGATGAAGTCGCCAGCGTTTCCACGCCCACGCTGGAAACAGACTTACCTCTTATGTCCCACCCGGCCCCGCCCTGCGAGTCACCAGGGCCAGCTCCATCCTCCGGATTCCACGCCGGCTCCTCCACCCTCTCCTCTCCTCATTCCCCATAAAAACTCAGGACACACTGGATGTGTTCCGGTCAGGGATTTTTGGTTTTAATTTAAATAACTGAAGCGACAGCCTTGGCACAGGGCATGGAAGCTGGGCTGGGGGTGGTAGTGTGCGAGATGGCAGCAGTGTGTCCTGAGGGGCAGGGTGAGCAGTGATCAGGTCACAGTGGGCTCCCACACCCCTGAGTCAGGTTCAGAGGTCACAGCCATGGGGTCAGGGGCACTGGGGGGAGCCATCAAGTAGTGACGCGTCTTTCCAAGTCCCAGAAACCTCAGGGGTTAGGGGAGGGAGGGCTGCAGCAACTCCCTCAAGTAGCCTGGGGAGACTAGGGTATCCCGACGGGGTGGGTCATGGCCCTCGAAAGGCATTCCCAGCGGCCCCGGCGGCTGCATTGGCAGCTGCAGTGCGCACGGCAGGGTTGGAGAAGACGCCAGCAGCAAATTCTTGCTGGGCCTTCTGGAAGCTGGCACCTGTGCGACGGTACAAGGAGTGGATCTGCAGGGAGGAGGGCAGAGTCATTGCAGAATGTTCCAGTCACAGCTGTTCCACCCCAACCCAACTCCCTCTCACTACCAATCAGCCAGCAGGCTTACTGTAGCTTTGCCTTTTCCCCTCCTAACACACACCCCCTTAGGGCCACTAGTGGAGGACCGGTCCAGTTCCTCCCAAGGTGTCTTCCTTGGGCCCCACCCGCGCAGCAGCCCCTCACCCGCTTGAGCATGACAATCCCCAGCACAGCGATGCCAGTGAACAGCAGGGCCACGAGCAGCATGAGAACGGCCACGGCTGTGTTGGTCTTCAGCACCACCAGGGCGGAGATCCAGCCACTGTGGGGACAGACCAAGGAGAGGCATGGGCAAGGAGGGGTGTGGGGTCTCGGTTTCCCACCCTCCATGTCAACCCGCAGCTTCTCCACTGGCAATGTTTGTCGCCAACACCCCTGCTTCCGAGCTCCAGTGTGGCTTCCCTCAGCCTGGCAGCATTCCATGGCCTACAAGGCTCCATTCTATCTTGGGTCTCTGCGAAGTTTTGCTCTCTTTGTTGAGCCATTAGCGCCCAGCTCTTCCAGCCCCTCCAAAGGGGGGGCTCATGCCAAACAGATCGGGCTCCCTGGGGGCCTCTCTCTCTTGCCTCCCACCGCCATCAGCCAAGCCTCCTCCACAAAGTCCCTCTTCCATGGAGCACATTCCCAAAGGTTAACAGTCCCCTCTCTTTTTAAAACAGCTTCTACTAAGGTACTCAGGGCTTGGCGGTGGTCTGGTCCAGATGGGGGGTGGGGAAGAGAGCACATGTATGCGTGTGCATGTAGTAGACTTACACACCTGAACCCCCAACCGGGGATACCAATGGCCTGGAGGACAAACAGCACATCCTGGGCGAAGAAAATGAAGAAGAAGACGAAGAAATTGAATGAGCTGTCACTCCTGTGGAAAAAAAATCAGGAGGGTGTGTCAGGGCTTGGAAGGTCAGGTGGCGGGAGGTCCCTCATCACTCTTCCTCTCCACTTCCTCAGCCCAGCCGGCCTCTAATACTCACCGGAAAGCCTTGTACATGGGGCGGTACCAGCAGACAAAGGAGCAGGGTGTGAAGAGGAGGACCCAGAGGATGGAGAGCCCGAAGCCTGAGCCATTGCTGGTCTCCACGCAGAAGCTGGCCAAGCAGGCCAGGAAGTTCAGGAGTAGAGCCAGTGTGCTGCCTGCGGGGTGTAGAGGTGTGTGTGTGTGTGTGTTTGGGGGGGGGGAGACAAAGACATACAGTGACAGCTCTGTCCTGCAGCCCTCCCCCATTGTGGTCAAGAAAGGCAACGACACTGTCTCCCCAGCAGGTAAACCTGGGTCACGTGTCATGGGATACCACCCAACTCTCTCCACCCAAGACACCCAGAGACTTCAGTGAGTTGGCATAGGCGGGCAAGGCTGAGAGCCACTGCTGGCTGGCAGCCTAAAATGGCTCTACAGAGAGGAACCCTGCAAGGTGCCCTGGGGAGAGGTGGATGGGTATGTGCTTGGGGTATAGGGGTAGAGGGCTGAGAGCAGCTTGGTAAGCCCCCTGCATTGTCCCCAGTGGAGGAGGCTGACCACTCACACATCCAGAGGTAGTACATGGTGGACACTGTCTTCTGAAACTCCTGGGGGATCTCCAGGGCAATGTCCTGGAAAAAGCAGGGCTGAACTGGGCAAAAAGAAGGCAGAGGGGGCCAATTGTTCTGGCGAGCTGCAAGGCACAAAGAGAATGGGGAGGACCGGGGCATGAGGCAGAGCCTGTGGCAGGTGTGACGCCACGCCCTCCACCCTCAGGCTCTCAGGTGGGCCATGGATAGGGTGGGCTCTGCCCAGTTAGCAGCTGTTGATGCTCCATGGCACCTATGCCCCACGCTAAGGGCAAAGGTTCTCATTGCACTGGTAAACAAACCCAGGTGCTCAGACCAAGCATCGTGTAGAAATGCCCATGGTTTCGAAGCAGTTTCTCTAACATTCAAACTCAGCAATCAAGGCTTTGCCACTTTTTTTTTTTTTAACTGTGGTTCCTAAACTGGCCACCCAGCACCTCCCAAAAATCCACGCACTCGCAGCACCACCCAGGGCTGCCTGCTGTAGCTCCCGTTCCCGCCGGTCCAACTCTTCTGCCTTCCGGTTGAGCTCCTCTTGCTTCTTCAGGAGCTCTGCTGTGGCGGCTGCGGCCGAAGCCTGCCCAGGAGGAACAGAAGCAGCTGTGAGGCCCCACGGGGTTCCCTGGGACAGGTTCCCTCCCACCAGCTCCCAGCTGCACATCCACCTAACCTGTGTGCTGTAGGAGCCATAGTTCTTGGGTTCTGAGGGGCTGAGTTTTCGTGAGGGCTGCAGGGAGGGAGCTGAGGGTGGAGGCACTGGGGCAGGGGCAGGAGACTCGTAAGCTGGTGGCTGCTGTTGGAGAGAAGACCTGGGAGTTCACCTGGGCCCTAATAATCTAGAATCCACTCAGAAACCTTTAGCTGCACCCCCACTTCCTGCTCAGGCCTGCAGAATCCCCCCCTCAGCAGCCAGCAAGATGGTTCCTGGGCTAGACACAGGTCCAGTGTCGGAGAACTCCACAATGATGAGCAGCAGGTCTTGTTCCCCACATCCCCAAATCCTAAGCAAGGACTCAAAGCGCTCAACAGTCAGTTCTTCAGAGTTGAGCCCATCCAAAGCCAGGAGCCAGGAGCTTTCTCCAAGTACCCCACAAGAGTACAGGGTCTCAAGACTTTGGGCCATCCTCTACTGCTTTCCCAGACCACAAGCAGGAAGTTGGATGGGAAGTGGAGCAGCCAGGACACAGACTGGCACCCATATAGGATCCCACTGCTTGCAGGCAGAGAATTTAGTCAATAGGGCCATTGCAGAGGACCCTGAACATTTCTATTTTTAAGCTTCCTTTTTCATACAAGAAAGGCAGATTGGCAGAGAGCAAGCCTCCATCTGGCTGTCAAATATCCCTCAGTCCTGCACCAGGAACCCAGAACTCCATCCCACATGGGTGACAGAGCCATCTCCTCTACCCCCCAGGCTGCATTAGCAGGAGGCTGGATCCCACGCAGGGCAGCCAGGGCTGGAATCGCACCAGGATAAAGGATGTGAGTGGTCCTCACTCACAGTGGCTTAGGGAGTCTGCCGCCATGCCCACTCCCTTCCCCTCTTAATTTCTTACAGCAAGCCATTCTCTATGCCAAACAAGGCGGGGTTTCCTCACAGTGTGTTCTCCAAGCCTACACTTAACCATGGCTTGTTTTCACCCTCACTCCAGCCTTGATCTTTATTTATTTAGTTTTTTTAGTTTTTTTTTTCAAAGAAGCCTTTCCAGACAGAACCCTGGTTTGGGTCCTCGGGGACTCCTCAGCGCTTGTGTTCATAGGCAGGCTCAGCATCCGGCCGCGTCAGCCTGGCTTCTCCCAGGGAGCTGGGATCCCAGAGCTTCCTCCCTTCTCGCAGGAAAGTCCCAGGTCCCCAGCCGCCGCGGGCTGGGCTTCCTGGCATGCCCTCCCCGTCCCTGCTCCCCGTGCTTGCAGGTGGCTCACCTCCCGGGTCTCGAAAGGGTTGTAGACGTCAAGGGTGGCATACTGCGGGCTGGGTCGGTGCTGGATCACGGCTGGGTCCTGGAAGGGCAGAGACCTGGAGCTCAGCGGGGCACCCCTCAGGAAATGCTTAAAAGACTGCTCCTAAATTGCCTGTGGCTGCAAATAGTGTATGCCATGCTGATGTTCCATCCGCCTGTAATCCATCAGTTGCCATAGCTCCTTTCTAGGGGCGGGGTCCGCCCCCCACCCGCGCTAGCTGGCCTAGACTCACCACCACCCCCACGTGGTGGCCCTTCCCGTATCAAACGGCACGAGTGGAAATCCAAGTGCGCCCGACCCTCCAGGATTGGAAAGTATCAACCCGACTGCCCAACGGAGGCCAGCGCCTAATCACCTGAAAGGGGTTGTCAAGCTCGCCCGACTCGGCGAACGGGTTTCCGCTGTCTCTGCTCTGAGCCATGTTTGCAACTGCGGCCTGGCCGGCCCCCCGCCTCCACGCCCCTGCCGCGGCAGTGGCGGCGGCGGCCCTCGGAGCTCCCTGCGCTCCTCTCGGGCCTGCCCGCTCCTCGCCGCACCGATTGGTGGAAGCCACCGGAAGGGTCACAAGGCTCCCTGCAGCAGCAGTGGGTTGCGCCTGCGTCCCAGCCAAAGGTAAAGCCCGGAAGTGCACCACGTGACACCGCTAGCCCAGTCCCCTTGGCCACGTACCACCCTCCCGCACGTGACTTCCCCCAACCAACGAACTACACTTCCCAGCAGGCCTCGCGCGAGAGCCCCCGTTTTCTTGGTAGTACGACGGGAATCTGCTGATCGTCTAGGAGGCCTCTCCCCAGCCAAAGCTTCTTCATTGTATTAGGGGTGTAGCCTAGGATTATGGTGGCCTCTTTTCATTATCCCAGATCTAAGACATGCCATCTTGTAAACCTGCTCCAGTCTAGCCTGTAAGAGCTGCTACCCCACCCATCACTATCCTTCCTAAATCAGCGCGGCCATATGGAAAGTAGGGGCCTGGCAATGGCCGTGGTCGATGCAAAGGGCAAGATGGACTCCCCTTTAAACCCAAGCAGTCTCTTCCCTCCCTCTCCACACACCCAAACCTCACACTCCAGGGATGGGGGTCGGATGAAGCATGTCATTTTATTTCACAAAGACTGTACAAAATTCCTTATAAAACATGGGGTAGACGCCAACGCCACCTGGCTGCCTCACTCTGTCCCCAGCCAGCTCCCCCTGGGGGGCAGGTGAGGGTGGAAGCGTGTGGATGGAATAGCATTATGTACACGGCAGGACTGCAGTGATAGGTACAAGTTCTGTCATATTTACACTATGTCACATATTCACAGGTGTATAGGGAGCCAGGAGGAAGGAGTGAACTCCGGCTCACTTCTCTTGTATAAAAAAGCACCAGTGTCCGGGACTGGACACCCTCTGCCGGCAGAGTCGCAGGGGGGCCCAGGGCCTGATTGTCACCGACTGATATCCCGACTGGAGTCCCACAACTTGGTGCTGGGTGGCTCAGCACGAAGGCGTGCGAAGAAAGGGTGCTGCAGGGCTTCCCCCAAGGTCAACCGCTTTGCAGGTTCATACTCTAGCATGCTTTCAATCAGATCGAAGAGCTGGTGGTGTTCCTCGGCCTCGGAGGTCAGGTACCGCTGGGGGAGGAGGGCAGGAGAGGTGAGGCCCCACCTCCCAATGCAGTGGCAGAGCACATCAAAGGACTCCCTTACCAAGACCGCACTACAGCCGACACTGGTCATGCCACTCAGCCTACCACCCCATGAGCAATCACTCCTTTATGTTCTCGGAGCGTCCTGCCAGGCAATCACCGTCATGCCTCTTTTTAGCTCTTGCAAGGTAGTCTACTTCCATTTGTGTCACCTAAACAATCTAGGACATTGCTCTGACCTCTGGCCATTTCTAGGTCAGGCTGGCTAACCTCCATCCAGCCACAAGACCTCAGAAAGATGTCTTCTTTCTGTTTTCCCCTCCTCCTAAACTTCTCACGCAGGAGGTGACCTCTGGGAGCCCTGCTCACCCGCAGTGGTTTGCAGTTCTCCCGCACGTAGCGCCCAGCTGAGGTGTTCTCATCCCAATCCAGGCGACCCCGGTAGAAATACTTCTGCTTCCTAGAGGGCAGATGGAGGGCGAGGGGTCAGCAGGTTCCCCCGGTGCAGGACACTTCCCTGCCAGAAAGTGACCGGCCACTGCAAATCAGTGCTGTGGGGGGAGGGGCAAAGGGCACGGCCCTGCCCTCTTGTGGCCCATCACCTTGTCTTTCGGATCATTCGAGAAGGAACAGGTCCCAGGATCCTCTCCATCATGGCTAGATGTTCTCTGTTGTCATGAGTCTGCAAGACAGAATTGTGCATGGGAGCCCGAGTGGGTGGGGAGCATGGCCAGATACACAATCTGTAGGCCCTCAGCCAACAAGCAAGCAGGTGGCAGGATCTGGTTGGCCAAGTCGGGGAGCCCACAACTCACCTGGAAGAGGGTGAAGCCCACATAGTACTCAAAGATGATGCAGCCGATGCTCCACACATCACAAGGCTGTGACCAGCCCAACTCTGGGGGCAAACACACAGGAGGACAGAGTGTCAGAGAGCCTGGGGGAACTCTTCCCTTGCCAGCCTGGTGCCTCAGGCACTTGGGCAGCCTTGCCGGTCCTTACCAAGGATGACCTCTGGGGCCCGGTAATGGCGCGTGGAGACAATAGTGCTGTGGTGCTCGTGGTCAAAGGTGGCGCTTCCGAAGTCCACTACCCGCACAGCTGTGCTCTTGACACTGCGCTCGTCCCGCTTCTGGGAGCCAAGCAGGAGCACAGTGAGCCCTTGGGCCCCAGACCCAGATCCTGCCGCTGGCCTGCAATGCATTCCTGAGCCCTACAGGCAGCGCCCTGCACCTCGGGCTTACTCTCTCGGTCCCCCAGGCCCCATAAACTATGTTTGGGGAGCCAGGGAGGATGAGGAAGCAATCATCCTGTGTTAGGGGGCTAGTCTGCAGCTGTGTGAGGACTACACCCAGGTGCAAAGGGTACAGTTCTCCTGAAAGTAACAGGCAGCAGAGGGGCCTGGGGAGGAGGAGAGGTCTCCATCACCTCCAGGTAGTCAAGGAATGCACACAGTCTACCTTACTTACCTTCTCTAGGTTGTAGGTGAGCTCGTAGTCTGAATTCACAAAGAGGATATTTTCAGGCTTGAGGTCCGTATGTGTCAGCTTGTTATCATGAAGGACTGTAGGGGAGAAGGCCGGCTCAGGCTTGGCCCAGGCAGCCAGTCAACTGGTGCCAGCCAAGCCCAGCAAGGCCATCTAGAGCCAAGCTGGAAAGGAGGCAGGCACAGACTCACCAGCACCAACCTGTGCACTACATCTAAGTGAAATGCCTGGTCTACACAGCTCTGCTCTGAGATACCCATGTGTTTCCCCTGATGATGAGAGACACTTTGTTACAGTTACAGCTGTGCACTAACAATGTTTATCTCATATCCTGCCAGCTCTAGTCGGTGAAACTATATCATGAGAACTCAAGAGACACTATAAACAGGAGAGCTTGGCTGGAATCCAGGCTCAGCTCCCATCACAGCTTTCTGCTAATGCACACCCTGGGAGGTGGCAGGTGATGGCTCACGTAGGTAGGTCCCTGTCTTCCACAAGTGAGACCCACAGAGTTGGGGTTCCCAGTGTTGGCCTGGCCCAGCCCTGTTGTCCCCAGCAGCCAAGTGTCAGCTTGTGGATGGGAGCTCTCACTCTGTCTCCATCTTGCAAATTAGAGACAGAGGTTAGACTACGTACTTGCCTAGATTCTCCACCTGTTTCCTCAGCTCAACTATTCCGTGTGCCCATCTGCTCTGCTGTGAAGGGAGAGCATTTCAACTAAGACGGGTCAGTGCAGACCATCAGCCCGAGCAGTGGTTTGCTGCTGCCTTGTGTTTGCTGTCCACCATGGTCCCATGAAAGGGAGAGAGGGATTGTGCAGCTCCCACCAGGCTGTGTGTGACGGTGAGGACAGGGAGGCGAGGCAGCAGAAGAGATGCCAAGATGAGAAAGAGTAAGGGCCCTGCAGGGGGGAGGGGCTGCCCCACGTCCACCTCAGCACCCCCACTCACACTTGACGGCCTGGCACAGCTGGAAGGCCATGTGGCGCACTTGGTGGATGGGGTAGGGCAGGTAGTTGTTGTCTTTGAGGAAATCGAAGGTGCTAAGGCCCAGAAGCTCAAAGGAGATACACATGTGGCCATGGTAGTCAAACCAGTCAAACATCTGGACACAGAGGCTGGGAAGAGAGATGGGGAAGGAGGGCGTCGGATGAGCTCCCTTCTGTCCACAATCCTCCAAAGGGAGGGGCTCTGTAGCTGCAGATTTCCCATCCTGGGATGAAAAGAGGATGGCTGGAAATACCAACTCAGCTCTGCTCTCTGGTGGCCTTCCTGACACACCCAGGTGGAAAGACGGTGTCTGCCCTGCCTCTAGCTCCAATCCTTCAAAACCTTCATGCCCAGAAGTGGGTAGACGCTGAGTCATCAGCCTGTCACTCCTAAACCCCAAAGCCAGCCCCAGCTCCTAAACTGCCCTCGCCACCAGCCGTGACCTAGCTCACGCTCACACCTCTTGCCCTCTTGCATCTTCACTTACTACTCTCATTCTATTTTTGGCCTGAGAATAAATGGGAACAAAGTATCACTATGGAAACATCTGTGAGTTGATCAGTACAGTTCCAGAAGAAAACCCACAAAGTATGTTTGGGTGAAAATGTGAACCTTTAGTCCCAGGGCCATTGCCAGGGGGATCGCTGCAGAGCTGATCCAGGGCTGGCAACACTGCACCTCGGGGCCAGCAGGCCTACCCTGATGTTCTACTCTAAGATGATGAAGCAGAGATGAATGGATAACAAGGTCCAGGACCTCCCTGCCTAGCCCAGGTCTGGGGGATCTTTCCTGTGTGATGAAGGAGCCCAGCAGCTGCCCCGCCAACTCCTTGGCTTGCTTACTTCTTGTTGTCAGGGTCTTTCTCATTAATTTTCTCTAACACATTGATTTCAAGTCGAGCTGCTTCCTTGTACTTCTCCACGTTCTTAATGATCTTCAAGGCGACACGAGCCCCGCCCCTGCAAGTTGGAAGGACAGTGTTTGCAAGAACATCTCGGACCAGTGCTGGGAGCCTGTAGTCAGGAATCCTGCCTTTAAGTAGTCAGCAGAGGCAGCCCCGGAGCTCCCACCATTTCTCTGCCTAGCAGCTGTGAAGCAGGGGGCCACAATTAGTTACCTGCGATGGTCAACACACTGCACAACTCGGCCGAAGGTCCCCTCTCCTAAGGTACTCACGATTTCATCTGCAATGAAAGACAATGGGGGCGGGGAGAGGGAGGGAAGAGAAGGCGGGCCATGAGCTGACCTGGAAACAGAAAGGCATGGCCACCTGGGGCAAGGAGATGAAGGAAGGGGAACAGATACAGATAATCATGGGGGGAGAACTCCCTGCCTGATTCCCCACCACCTTTAACCCAGGGGCCATGAGAGCTGGGAGTGCACCCAGAGGTCAAGTCTCAACAGCAACTCAAACCACCCAGACAGACAAC